TACGCCCTCTTTGGCGATTAAAATATATTTCCACATAAAATTTCTTACACACTGGGCCCGGCTGAACTGTAGTTCAGAACAATCAAGATTATCAGTGACATGAACATTTTCAAGAATTATTATGCATTTCAATACAAATTCAAGTTTTTGTAATAAAGAAATGTCACATAAATATCAAGAACATGTAAAACTTACCATATGTTTCAAGAATATCAAGTAAATTTTCAAGTAAATTTCATCAAGAATTATTCTCATAACATTCCTGTTCAAGCATCAGAATTTAAATCAAGAATTTATATAACTCAAGATAATATTAAACAAATGATTTCAAAATCAAGATTATCATAATTCAACTAAAATACTAGAATTGTTACAAGAAACCTGTCTTTTTCTTTTTCTTTTTTTTTTTTCAGAATTAAATTAAAATTTTAAACACACTTATACATTTCTACAACCTTAAAATTTTCTAATATATGCATTTCTTTAAATATTATATATACAATACTTGAAATATTAAGCATAGATACAACATTAGTAGCATTAAGATTACATTTTCAGTAAGAATACTATCACACAATATTAATACTCTTAGCACTCTAGATGGAGATAATGGTGCTATGACTTGTCGCATCGGTCAGGAATTATAACGCTGACACAGTACACAGTTTCTTAAAACACATGTCACATTTTGTCTGGATCTAATTATCCACTATTTTTCACCGGAGGAACATGAGAGTACTAGCTACACCTGTATGAAGAACTTCGTTCATGTGCATCACGTACCAGAAGATCTGTAATGTAAAATGAGTTTTTGAAGGAATAATTATAGGATGCTTTTCATGAAATCTTGAAGTTGATTTTTGTAGTCTTCCTCTTACTAATAAAACTCTTCCCTCACTTAGAAAAGGATTTCAGTTCATAAATGTTTGAGTTTTTTTTGAAATCAACTGTCTTCAATTTTAAACTATTAATTTCATCCGAAAAAGTTTCATATTGAACTTCTTTTATCAAATATAATTCTGCGGCTAAAAGTTCTTCTGCTATCAAGGGTCCGGTTTTCTTGTCAGTTTTTTCAGATTGTGAATAAACCTAAATATCCATGCAATCACTCTAATAGCTAATTAATTTACTATAATTTTCAAGATTCAACAGAGAATTAGATTTGTATGCAATAGACGGCAGTATTGTAGTATTATTTATACACCTTTTCCGCTCTAATTCAGCATCAGAAAACTCCGAATCAAGTTTCTAAACTGCCAAGTTTATTCAAGTCTAACACACCATTCAACTGGCGGTGCCAAATCCAAGAACAAGAAGTATATATACATCATGAATGATTTACGCCCTCTTTGGCGATTAAAATATATTTCCACAAAAAATTTCTTACATACGCGCATCGAATTTCAGTTCAGCGCCGTTCCGTAGATATTCGAGAAAAAAGGATTTGGCACGTAGCCAAATTCCTCTAATAGGAAAAACCCAAGAAAGAAAGTGAAAAATGTAGGGAAAAAGTAGGGGGAAATTAGTTTTTAATTAATATCTCGGCTAATTAAAGTCCCAAGAAGACACGAATGGTCAAAATGGCGTGCCACGGACCTGCGTAATCCAACGGTGTGCTTCGCTAAGCCCGGGAGCCAGCCGTTTCGGTGCAGATGATGTTACTTCACCCCATATACAAATGCGGCTTAAGTGTCTGTTTGTCGCCGATAGTTATTGGTTGCTTGCGTAAATGTACTAGCCAATGGAGTGAAGTTGCTGTGGCACAGGGTTGCCGTTTCAATTGAGACGTAGACAATTTCCTGTAAAACTTGCCATTGCTATGACCATCAATAAGTCTCATCGAATTAAGCGTGTTGGCATTTTTTTACCTGAGACTGCATTTGGACACGGTCAACTTTATGTTGCCTGTTCAAGGGTTCGTGAAATAACGGACGTAAAATTAAAAATAATGGATGGCCCTCTGCAAGGCGAGCTTAAAAATGATGATAAGATCTACACAAAAAATTGTTGTGTACAAAGAGATCTTTGACATGTGAATTAACATTTTATTATTTAAATCACCTTTATTTATTGAGCTAGCAGTGGTTCTTAAGAAATGTACCGCCAGTGATTTCCTTCATTGCACTCTACTTTAAGCAATTAAACAAGTAGAAGGGGGAAACCCCGTGGGGCAGTAAGCAAAGAAACGTCCTCGCCGCCTGCCCTGGGTAATTCAGTTTGAATTAGCAGACACCTTTGCATAAATCATTTTAATTACAACTTATAATATATAAAACAGCGGTCATTCGTATGACCGCCGGGCTTTCTAGTATATATATATATAGGGTGCGGTAGCGTAATTTGACTTACGTAGCACAATGACGTACTGCATGAATGCGCGCCAGCTCGTCCCGCATTCGTGTACTAATGAGCTGCCGTTTCGAGTGTGACAGTGATATGGATCGTTGGAGTGCACAGCATCGTGCCTTTGCTGTTGAAAGTTATTTCAAGAATAACTACTCTGTTATTACTACCCAGCGTCTACTTCAGCAATATTTCAACTTGGGACGTTATAAGAAAGTTCCAGATGGACGGACCATTGCGACAGACATTTCCAGGTAGAGTAATTTCCCGTTTTGGTGACATTTCCTGGCCGCCTCGCTCACCTGATCTTTCATATGTACAATTTTTTCTTTGGGTCCACCTGAAGCAAGAAGTTTTCCGAACATGTTGTGCCACCATTCCTGAGTTGAAGGATCGCATCCGAACTGCCGTCGGCAACAGTGGCGGCTCTTGGCTAAAATTAGTGGGGGTGCTGTTCCAAAAAATTTAACCTTTGTTTTAAAATTGTGTACAAAAAAACAAACATGTATAAAAAGAAAATTTATTTTGAAACTTCATGAAATCTTACAAGAAAAAAATTAAACATTTCTTAATTACTTAAAATTGTTACTGTTCAGTCTTTGTCTATTCATTTAAAAATGAAATCCATTCTTCTTGTTTTAATTTGCACAAAAAGATCAATAATTTTCCCTTGATCTCTGGATGACAAATGAGGAAATTTTTCTTTATTGAAAGCAATGCAAGCGCATTTAGTCTCTCCGAATTCCTAGTGCTTAAAAAAGTTTTCATTCTTTTCAATGCTGAAAAGCAGCGTTCTGCCTCTGATGTAGTCATGGGAACTCTCAAGAGAATTTTTATCAGGTTTGTAATTTCACTAGATTATTTTCGAAGATAAATTTCAGTAGCTCAATTAATTTTCAGTATTCATGGATAGTTTCAGTATTCATACCTACAATAGAATACTTTTAGTTCAATTTCAAGCTTTTCTTTGTCAGTCATTGGATATGCTTTAGTGGTCAGTACTATTTCTTTTGTAGAATGTTCATTCCTAAAACTAGCGAAGCATTTCTTGTTTAACAATTTAGCAGCTGCTAAGTGTTTAGTGGAAGAATACCTGTGCACTATATCAATACAGTATAAAGTCACATATTTCCTTAGATTCTGCCATCAGTATCTTTGAAAAAATTCTCACAGTACTTTGAGTTTCTTAATTCTAAAATAGCAGTTTTGAAATTTTTTATATATTCATGAACTTTAAACACACTAATTTCTCTGGATTGCATTTAATTGCATATTTTCAACATGACGCATCTGATGAAAACGTTCTAAGCAAAACTTGAAATTATCACCATTTAGATATTTTAAAATTCCTGTTGCTTTTGCAATAGTTTGATCTGCATTTGATGTTGATTGAATTTCAGTAAGGCAATTTTTTAAAGGTTGCAAATTTTCATGAACTCTGTTTATGATCCGTATGATGAAGTTTCACCTTGTGGAGGAATATCACACGCGCGGAGTAAAACGAAATCACGTTTCTAACAACATGCCAGAATTTCGGAACTGCAAGAGCGACAGTGCTCTTCCCTCCTGCATGGACCTTTTAAGAGATCATGTCCTCCTATTCGTGACGTAATCTCGGATTGCAACATGCGCAGTCATGCACATGGTTACACCCTGTTCGCAATGGCGATCTCATGTTTTACCTAATTGCAACCTGCGATGACAACACCCTTTCGAGAATTACCGCTAGAGAGCAACAGTCAATGTATGTTGTAATCGGTTGTTGTAGATACCAACAAGGCCTGAAGGACGCTAAAACATTTTCCGTTATTTTTTAATATTGCTTACCCATCTGTAACTGATTTTCACAATGTTTCAATTTTTATCTTCCTCTTATTTTTTTATATTCACATACTTTTATCTTTTTATTGTTTAAATTGAAATGTAGTCCAGACTTGGAATGCAGTCCAGACTCTAGTGCATTTTTAACAGTTAAACACAATTTCCATCATTTTCGTACATCATGAACGCTTTAAATCGAGGATTTTTTCGATATTTTTGAATAATTTGACCATAATTAAAATGATGAATAATTAAATTTCTGACAGAACTTTTCGCTAGCATATAACATCTTGCCATGTTCACTTCGTATATACTTGTATAACTGTTAACATATTTGGTAAATAAGTAATAATTTTCAAATGCAGATGATGATTCTTGTATTTTGTTTTATATTTTCATATAAAACAAAAAATATGGCAAAAAAACATCTTCTTTTGAAACATATCAACAAAACTTTCGAGTGTCCGAATTATTATAAAAGTTACTGATTAACCCTTATGGATTAAATTATTTTATTGTAAAGAGCATTTTGATGATATTTATTTTGCAGCAAGCAAGTTTAAAAACAGAGAAAAAATAATATATTAGGAAAGAATTTAGAATTTAAATTTCAGTATGTAGTACAGGATCTACTCAAATAAAATTTCAAAACTATAGTGTAAGACACTGCACATAATTAAAATGTCTTCGCAAACCGCCACTTTGAATCTATTGTCATAAAATAATGAAATTCTATAAGTGTACCCTACTCTAAATAAATGAGCCTAAAATAAATGTTAAAAGTAATATGATTAATTTAGATTTTATTATGACTGATTTCTCTTTTCTATTTTCAGATGTGTTTTATCTCGATCATATGTAATCTTGAATTGGAATGTGGCTTTGGAAGCTTATTCTGCTGCTAAATTCTACGCAGTCAACGATTTAGTATCAGCATGCGAGGCCTTTTTTATTCGCTATCCTGTTCCTCCAGAGGATGCTCATTATATCTATCGTATGGCTCAAATCTTTGGGGTTAAGGATATACTCCTGAAGTCAAAGAAGTATTTCAGAAAACATATTAATTTCTCTGAACAAAATGATCGAATCCCAGATAAAATATGCCTGATTACAATTTCGATGTATCCTTCCCAATTCTGTTTACCTCTGAGCAGTTACAGCCTCAAAACCATCGATGGAGCATTTTCGAGTGATTTAAGAAATGATATTGAGTTTGAAGCTATTAATGGAATATTTCATATTTTGGGTGTAGAAATTCAGCTTCAGGTTCTCGAGAACGAGAAGGGTAGTAGCATTCCGATATATTATGAAATATCCAATTATTTTGAAGGTATGCATAATGAGGAAACGGTTTATAAAGATTCAGAATCACTTATGGCTGTAAATTTCTCTTCTAAGTTATTGGTCAGGCCTGGGCAGAAAGCAAAAATCAGTATCTTAATGGATGATTTGAAGCTTTGTAATTGCTATGCTATCGAGAAAAATGATGTGCTGCATGAAACTCGTTGGGAAAAATTCCATGTGAGGTGCTTCAGTAACAGAAAAATTCCACGTTCCAATCAGAAGAGATTTGTTATTGGAAAATTGTTTTATACTTGTAAAGGATAAATATCACTGTAGCATCTTGGTTTTTTGTAGCTATATTTTATCTGACGTAACTGAAAATCATTCCGGCTCTAATGTGCTCATATGTAGAAAGTTGATCGTTTGAGATATTTTCAGACTATTATTCGTAGTATAGCTTTATGTGACATTTTGCAATTCAGTTCACTTATGAGAAGAATAGTTTATACTTTGCGTCGTGTATAATGACACTATGTAGATATACACCCTCATCTAAAGAAAAATGAGTGAAATTTTTCTTTAAACTTTGGAACTGCTATTTTGTATTGACCAAAGGATTAAGTAAAATGTAGTGATACTACTTTATAACGAAGAACTTTGCAATGAAATATTATTTCAAATTTTTGCTATGTAAGTAAGAAGTGTGTAAGACCTCAAAGTATTAAATATAATAACCTTGTGTTGAGTAATTTGCATAATTTTGTATAAAAAATTTAGGTTTGGATATTTTCAGTATATGCTACGAATATCTCCACGAATACCGTGAGATAGTTTTATGAAAACTGTTTCTAAGTTTTGAACAGTCAGGTATTTTTAAATCGAGAAGTGCAATATGATTTGTGTACCCTACTTTACATTTTACACGTGACATTTTTAATCTCATTTATACTTCTGAAAGTTTATCTGATTCTTTTGAGAAAAATAATTTGATTAATTTTAATCTTACTAATGTGAAATGTTGGAAGATCTCTCCTCTATTTCTTTATGTCGATCAGGCGTTCTATGCATAGTGTCGATGTGGTTAAACTGCGAAAGCTGAAATCTACCAGTCGTCTAAAAGGGCCAAATCGGCCCAGGATGGAAACATGCAAATAGGTATCGAACAGTGCTGATAAAAAATTTATAGCTACATCATGTTCTATGCTGTTTGGTTTATGCTTTTCAAATAACACTAACAATTGATGCGTCATACTAGACGTGACGAAATCGTTTGAGCGCATCTGGGATCAGAGTTAAAGAGAAAGTCATTCTCTTACGCAGAGCCGGCGCCAGAACATGTGCAGTCAGTGTGACCTCACCGCTCGGCGGAATTCAGGAGCAGCAGAATTTTGGATTTTTGGAGTTTGCACTGGGCGGCGAAAAGTTTAGCGCCAGCCCTGCTTTTGAGTGACACCTCGCTGACACGATCCCCGTGCGGAACTTTACAGGAAGTAGTCTGACGTCACTAAAAACCCGTGAAGCTACTGACTAAAATCTGTAGCTAGGCAATCTCGGTCACAGGGGTATAAAGTTACGAGCTTGTCGGTTCACCGTGACCTGTGTATGTTAGCAGATGCCCTGATTTTGTTTATTCGAGTGGCCCAAAGGATGAGGTGGTGTAAGCCATGCTTCCTGACTAGTGCGGCATCAGGCGTAGTATTGGCAGGCAACAATCTGACGACCAGTAAAATCTCCAGCCTGATAGAGCTACACCCCGTGGTGTTTTCCGGTGGCCAGGAGTGGTGACCTCGGTCGAACAGTTCAGCCATGGATGAAAGAGTTCAATTAAAGTCTGCCCCTGTAAGTGTGGGACTGGCAGCAGCACAGTAAATTACCAAATACTCTCTTTGGGGGCAAAATTTGCCTGACGACCTAACTGCTACCTAATATGGGAGGTCTTAAGTTGGGGTTGGGCTCGGTTGTGCGACGAGCTCAGATTGTAGTACAGGCTTATAAAATTAACTAGTCATTATAATGCATCAGTTCTAATTTCGCACATTTAAAACTGTTCCATTTTGCAGCAAAGGTATATTCTAGTGATGTAGATATCCCAAATTAATTTTAATCATATATATTGTTGCGAATTTGGCATTTAAATAATTAACTTTAGTTGAATTGTAAATTAAATGCTTTTATTTCCCGCGCGTGGCGAATATTAAAAGAAAGCTAAGCCGGAAAATTGAAAATACAAGAGCGCGTGGATTTAACATTTAATAAATATCTCTTTTTGATTTCGAGAAAGTACTAGAAAATTCTCGCGCGCGATTTTTAAAATCTTATAAAAGGAGGAAAACCTCTCAGTTCGTGGTAGTTACTTAGTTTGTTGTTGTTTAGAAAACTGCTCTTGTTGATTGTAGCGAATTCGCGGATTAGCTTTCTTTAGCTGTTTTGAATTAAGTTCTTTTGAACGTTTGAGTAGTTAGAAGATAACTACTATGATATATTGTGATACTGAACGATTATTTGAAGACATTTAATCATATTTGTTGTGATAATAATAAATTTTTGTTCATTTTTTATCGGACTTGCGCATTCATTTCGTAACGAACCCGTACGCACGCAACAATTTTTGGTGTCAGGAGTGGAGTTTGAATGCCAATAACAAGAGCAATTAAGGCAGTTGAGGCTAAAATTCCATAAGCGGGGTAAGTTGGCGCCAAACTAGTTTGGCCTTCAAGAAGTAGTGAAACGCCGTTATTTTATGTAAACAGAATAGTAAAATGAGATGATAAAATACTAGATGCGTAAAACAAAGTCCAACAGCTTTGCAAGTAAAAGCATAGTCCTATATATATGTAATTCATCATAAAATAGTAGAATGAACATTTCTTATAAATAATTATTGAGTAAATAAATGTATACACTTATCAGATCAGAGCACTGCGAAGTCAGTTTTAAACATAAACAGAATAGCAAATTATGCGTATTCAGCATCATAAACTAACTAAAATATTCAAGTTACTATCGTCGTGGAATTCAACAAAACAACTTTTGTTCAATGCTTTAAATATTCCACATCTTTCGATTGCCACATGCAAGAAACACAACTAAAAAAAAAATTAACTAAATAAAATTAAATGAAAACATTCATAAATTATAAACTTCATGTCATATGAAATCCAACATTCTCTCACCAACGACAGCTTAACCTTCTGCAAATATTTATATAAATATAATATTAAACATATATATAACAATAATATTAAACAGTAAAACTTTTAAAAACAAACACAGTATTTCAAAATTAAATTTAAAAAAAAATCTGGCTACACTAAATTCGCGCTCTTACAGTTACCGAAATAAAGCTCTAGGTTTGCCACAAGAAAACTTAACAGCAGGAAACCACAACCAAATTATCTTGGTGATGTCTTTTCGGTCTTTTGTCTGACAGCATAAACTAGTGGTTTATGATCGTAAAAATTTTGAAATCGCGACCTTCTAACATATGTTTAAAATGTTTAATTGCAAGATATATTCCCAGTAACTCGCGATCATAATTACTGTAATTTTTCTGAGTGCTATTTAATTTTTTTTAATAAAACGCTAAAGGTTTCGATGCTCCATTTCTCAAACTGTTGGAGAACTGCAGCAATAGCCCAATCAGATGCATCCGTGCATAGTGACAAGGGCAAATCTGAATTGGGATAACTTAAAAGCTAGCTACGTTTGCCAAATCCTGTTTACATTTTTCAAAGTTAAATATAGCTTCATCTGACCATTTAATTTTTCTTCGATCTTTTTTCTTAGCACCCTTTAGGTACTCATGAAGTATTGCTTGTGTCTTAGCAGCATCTTTCAGAAACGGTCGATAAAAATTAAGCATCCCTAAGAAAGTTCGCAAATCATGGATAGTCTCTGGTAATTTATAATTCAATATTGCTTCGACTTTTTCAGGTAGAGGACGAGATCCTTCCGGTGTTATAAGATATCCTAAAAATTCTAAGTTATCAACACCCATGATCGACTTGGAAATGTTGATTCTCAAACCGTATTTATCTGATTTATGGAAAACAAGTTTCAAGTCATGTCTGTTCTTCTTCTGAGGATGAAGCAATTAATATGTCATCGAGATATGGAAAAGTAAAGTCCAAACCTTGAAATACTTCATGTATGAATCTTTGAAAAGTAGCTGGTGCATTTCGCAAACCGAATCTCATTACATTAAATTCATAGAGGCCAAATGGCGTAATTATAGCGGTTTTCTGTTTGTCCTCTTCGGCTATAGGAATTTGGAAATAGGCTTTGAAAAGATCAATTTTGGAAAATATTTTTTTTTGCCTTTTAAAATGTGGTTAAAATCATTAATCCTAGGGATAGGGTATCTGTCAGGAATAGTTATAGCATTAAGTCTTCGATAGTCTCCACAGGGACGAAAATTTCCATCTCTTTTAGAGACTAAGTGGAGAGGACTAGCCCATGGAGATGTAAACCGTCTTATTATATTGTTTTCCAACATATACTGAAATTCTTGTTTGGCAGTCTGTAACTTTTTACTGTCTAGCTGTCTTGGCTTGGAATACACCGGTTGACCTTCAGGTAAAATGTGATGCTTAACATTGTGCTTAACATTTGTTATCAAAAGATTAGGTTTTGTAATATTCGGATACTTGGATAACAAATCATGATATTTTAACTTTTCATGTACTGAACTTACATCATTCATTTTGGAGATGGATGTAATGTCACATTGAGTAGTAAGGTTAGTTACACCATCGATTAATCTTTTGTTGTTTAAATCAATTAATAACTTGAAATGGTCCAAAAAGTCTGCTCCGATTTTGCCTTTATTAATTTTGGCAATAATGAATGGCCATCGAAAAGCTCGACGAAGGCCAAGATCAAGCGTTAAAAATTTTACCCCATAAGTAGTGCCATTGGCGGCATATATTTTGAAATCACTTTGAAGTTTATCTTTTTTTTGTAGCAGGTAATAAACAAGCATCTGCGCCGAGATCAATTAGAAAATGCAAACCCGTTGTTTGCAGTCACAAATATTCGGTGTTTGCGGCCATCCTGAACATAACCTACAGCAAAATCAGCCGCTAATTCCACTGCTGGTTTAAGTTTTCCGACTTCTTTTGACTCCAAGAGAAATTAGGTTGACACTTTTCAGGAATCCATTTTGAGCCAAAGATGTAATGGTAATAACAATACTTTCCAGCTCCACAGTTCCAGCACTTCAACCTGTTCAGATCGAAGTTTCAGCAAATTAAAACATATTAAAAAATATCTACGATCATCGGTGAGCCAGGAACGTTTATCAAGTCTCGCGATTCTGACAACCGAAAATCAAACCGCAGACCAAATTATGACGATTCCATGCGCTTAGTTGCAGAACAAAAGGCTTACAGAGTAAAATTTTAATTTTCGTTACTAACTCCGTGATATTTTAATAGCGTTAAGGCAGGTAAGACTGGCTATTAACTCCTGCGAACCTTACGGTATATGCAGGAATTATTGGAACTACTCGATTAAATAATTAATTCCACCAACATACTGTACTCGTCGATGAATACAAGATTCGCCAGCCTCGCCAGCAAATATCTTTATTTAAAACAAATTTACATATACAAAAAATAATTACAATCAGCCTGATTATGATAAACAATACAATAATGATCCAACTAGGATTATGAACTAAAACAATAATTCCAAACTTTGAATTATATTAAATATATATATCATATACAATTTTTAGAAAAACAAATCA